CTTTTTTGTATCGAGGTATTGGGAGTTCTTCTATGAAGGACTCATCTCTTTGTAAGATGTGTCATTGCCAAATATTTTTTCTTAATGTGTAGATACTTAACAGGCCTCTAAAAACTCTGTGAATGGTAGAGGAAGACATACTTAAGATTGTTTGATAGAGGTAAAGCCCAGATTAGAAGTCAGTCAAAATGAGGAAAAATAATGGCAAATATTCTTTAATTTGGTACCAGCTTGAATGTTGGAAAACGAGAAATTGTGAAAAATGAAATATTATATATGAATATTGACATACTGGGCATGAATGAGATGAGTTGGACTAGCTTTGGCCACTTTGAATCAGATAATCACATGATATTCTATACTGGGAATTAAAAACAGAAGAAGAATGGTGTTACATTCATAGTTAAAGGAGACAATTTCAAGTTCTGTCCTGAAGTACGATGTTGTGAGTGATACGATATTATCCATAGACATCCAAGGAAGACCTGTTAATTCAACTATTATCCAAATAAACACTCCTACATTGAGAGCAAAATAGAAATTGAATATTTTTATCAAATCTTACAGTTTGAAATTGACCAAATGATAATTGCTGACTGGAATACAAATTATCTATGGTTGGAAGCAAAGAAGAAGAAATAATAGCAAGTATGGAGTGATTGACAGAAATGAGACTGGAGATAAAATTATCATATTTTATCTTTTCAACAATTTAGTCATTGCAAATACCGTTCTTAAAAAGCACAAATGGTGACTTTACACATGGATCTCACCTGATGGGCTCTATAGGAATCAGCTTGGTTACATCTGCGGACAGAATTGTTAGAGAAGCCCAGTATCAGAAGGCCAGGGCAGATTGTGGATCAGACAATCAAATTACTCATTTGTAAATTCAAATTGGAGCCAAAGAAAGTGAAAACAAGTTCACAAGAACCAAAATATGATCTTAAATTTATTCCAGCTGAATTTAAAAATCATATTAAGAATAGATTTGATGTATTGAACAACAGTGATCGAAGACCAGATGAGATGAGTTGGATGACATCAAGGATGTCATCAAAGAAAAACCTGAAATGGGTATCAGAAGAGAAGCCAAAACAAAGGGAAAAGAGCTGAACAGAAGATTTCAAAGGGCAGCTTGGGAGGACAAAGCCGGTATTATAATAGATTGTGTAGAGGTGGAATTGGAGAATAAAACCGGAAGAACTTTAAAAAAATTTAAGCTTCGTATCACAATATTGAAAGATGCTATGGGCAATATATTAAATAACCCAAAAAAGCATCAAAAGAAGATAGAAAACACAGAATCACTGTACCCAAAAGAAGTGACTGACACTGAAAAATTTCAGGAATTATCATATGAACAGAAGCCAATGGTATTGAAGGAGGAAGTTGAAACTGCATTGAAGGTATTGGCAAAAAATAAGGCCCCAGGAATTGATGGGATACTGACTTGTTTCAGTTAACAGATGCAGCCCTGTATATGTTCACCAGTCTGTGCCAGGAAATTTGGATGATCTGTCTGTTGTCTGGCCAACAGATTGGAAGATGTCTATAATCTCTTCTCAAGAAAGTTGATTGAACAGAAAATGGAAACTATGGAACAAGACCATTAATATCATATGCAAGCAAAATACTGCTGAAGATAATTTAAAAATGGCCAGAACAGTACATAGATAAGGAATTCAAGCAAGATTTAAAAGATGGCACTAGGAATATCATTACTGATGTCAGATGGATACTTGCCTGAAAGTATAGTAGAATGTCCATTTGTGCTTTATTGACTATGCAAAAGCATTTGATTGTGTGGATCATAACAAGTTACTGCTAGCATTGAGAAGAATGGGAATCCTAGAGCCCTTAATTGTATTCATGCAAAACTTATACCTAGACCACCAAGAGGCTGTTCTGTGAAAAGAGCAAGGGAACACTTGTTATTGTGTACAGGAACTGACCCATAGCTGACACTCTGGTGGGTTTTCAGAAGCAGTTAATCGGATGGGAGGAGCTTGCCCATCCTTCACCTGTGGAGCAGCTTCTGGATTCAGACAACAGTGCAGCTTCTTACCACTAGGCCACCACTACATTGTTTAAAATTAAGAGGGAGCTGGGTTAGGGTTGTATTCTCTCTCCATCCCTCTTTAGTCTGTATGCCAAGCAAATTATTTGAGAAGATGGAGGTAGAAGAAAAATGTGACATCAAGATTGGAAAAAGACTTATCAATAACTTGCCTTGTGCAGATGACACAATCTTGCTTGCTGAAAGTGATTGAAGCACTTGTTGCAAAAGATCAAAGAACACAACTTTCAATGTCAAGAAAACAAAAATTCTTACCTGTGGACCTATAGGCAACATCACGAAAAAGGGAGGGGAAAATTGAAACTGTCAACAAGTTTATCTTACTTGGAACCACAGTCCACACCCAGTCAGAACCTCTCCAAATTATTGAAGAGTAATGATGTCGGTTTGAAGACTAAGCTAAGTCTGATACAGGCCATAGTCTTTCTGGTCACTTGTTAAGCAAGCTGAGCAGTGAATAAGGACAACATAAGAATTAATCCTTTTGAGCTGTGGTGTTGGAGAAGAGTACTGAGCATCCCATGGACTGCCAAAAGAACAAACAAATATGTCTTGGAGGAAGTATTCCCACATTGCTCCTTGGAGGCAAACATGATAAAGCTTTGCCTCACATACTTAGGATATGTTGCTATAAGAGGCTATTCTTTGGAGAGGAACATGATGCTTGGTAAGGTGAAATAGAGGAAGACCCTCTTAGGTAGGTTGACATGGTGATTGCCGCCATGCTTTCTAGTGTGCCAGGAAGTGTGAGGATGGCGCAAGATAGGACAGGGTTCAGATCTGTTGGTCATGGGGTTGCTATGGGTCATATCAGCTTGACAGCATCTAACAACATCATTATCAGTTATATTTGGTGCTCTAAGTCATAGTGTAGGACTTCTTGAAATGTGCCACATTTTTTCTTTGGTGATTCAAGGGAACAAATTTAAAGACATGAACAATTTACTATTTTTTTTAGTAAACTTTTTAGTATGCTTTTAAAGAAATAATTGATTTGTTATTATGAAATCAGATATCATATACTATTTTCTCATAGATAGTGGGTGCCAAAGGTTAAGAAGAATTAAGAGAAAATTAAAAGGTGAAATAGTTTTTCTTCCTATGTAGATGGCCGCTGTTAATTTGTGTTCATTTCCTCACTCAGTTCACTCAGCAGTGTGAGTAGACATAGTTTGAGAATTGCTTTGCACTGAGCTTGTGCTCAGAGAATGCAGACAGGATTGTAATCTCGTGACCTGTTACTATCTAAACTTTTGTTTTTGAGATCAACATTTCTACCTGTCTGTCTCTAGTCACTCAGAGCTCTTCTTTACCACAGTTTACAATTTTATTTGTAGATTTTGGTTTGTTTTAATACTTTGTACACATTTAGGATTGTCAGGAATCACCCAGCTTGACTTCCTCTCAGCCCTTTTATTCCTTTCCTTTGCTGACACATTGCATTATAAATCCCACACATGGCATAGCTGCCCTCGATTAGTGTGAATTTCTTTAAAAATGACAGTGCATTTGATAGCCTACAAGGTAAATGAATTTTCTTGATTCTCTCAGGAGTGCTGTATTACATTTGGTTTAACTAAGGATCCAGACATAGTCCACACATTGCATTTGGTGGTTTTACTACTTAATTTCCTTATCTAGAATGTTTCTCTATAGATTGTCTAGCATTCTAGAGTTGTCATCGCTGCTTTGGGTCTGAAGGGTGTTCTTGTATTTCTTTGAGAACTGTGCTACGAATGTGGCATCATTAGTTGTCTGTGCTTTGTTAAGGAAAAAAAAGAACTTTTCTCATTCTCAAGGATTTAGTAGCCTCATAAGACTCGTGGCTAGCATATTTTATAAAATGTAGTATTTATAAAACACTACAAAGTCCTGCTTGTCAAATACTTTGATTAGATTTAGCTTTATCGTTCCTTGGCAGAATTATTCCTTGGTGGTGCTTTGTGTTTTGAAGCACATGGATCTAGTTGTCCCACTTGGCGTATTGCTAGAATTGATGCTCAGTGAGTTCAGGGTAATGTGGTTTTTCCATTCTTGCACTAAACATTTTATTTAAGGGGGTGAGGTGGGTTTGTTTCTGCTCTGAGCAAAATATCGTAACAAAGATTTGAAACATAATTTTAAAAGTTCAATACTGGGTGAAAAAAATTCTCAAGAACCATATTCACACAAAACATGTGACATAAGAGCACCATTATTCAAATAGTAAAACAGTGTAAACAACCTAAATGTCTTAAGCAGGGTATGTATGCATACGATGGGAATGAAGTTTTGATACAGGCTACAACATGATCTTTGAACACATGCTGAAAGAAAGCAAACCTGCAGCAGCATGTATTGGAGGTTCCATTTATCTGAGATGCCCAGCACAGGCGAGTCCACACACACAGGAAGACCAGTGGTTCCTCAGGGAAATGATGGGTGCCTAATGACTCGTGCAGGGCTTCCTTTTGGAGTGATGACATTGTTCTGTCCTTGGATAAATAATGATGGTCATACAGCCTTGTGAAATAGCACTTGGAAGAAAATAGTGACTTTAATGTACCTCAGTTTTTAAAAATAGTTGAAAAAAATTTAGGGAATGAGTCCTATCCAGGTTCATTGCTTTGTTTCATAAGGAGTGACTGAGTGGGTGAGAGGTTAGATTTGTACTGATGAGGAAAATAATTCATAATAAAATTAGGGAACTTTCCTCTATGAGATATGTAACAAATATACCACAAGATGTTTGGAAAATAAAGAGCAAAGTCTTAAGGAAGGAGAAATGACTGATTTCTTAAGTAGTCAGAATGGGAAGTAAGACCTGGAGCAACCGCTGCCAGCGTGTTAGATTGACAGTTATAAAACTTTGTATACAAAATTAGACATTTACCATTTGAAACCTGAGTTTTAATCTTTACCTTTTTTTTTCCTCCTGTAGGATGACACATACACAGAAAGCTACATCAGCACAATTGGTGTGGATTTTAAAATAAGAACTATAGAGTTAGATGGGAAAACAATCAAGCTTCAAATAGTAAGTGATTTTGGGACTATACATTTAAAAAAAAATTCTTTTTGACAAATTTTTGATAAATTGATTATTTGCATTGTTAATAAAATGAATATAAACTATTTTACGAACCATGCATGCATGATAGTGGTAGGCTCAGAATTCCCTTTCTCAAATAGTTTCCATAAAGTAGAAAAATTAATGTAGTAATTAAAATAGGGAGCTCTGGAGGCCTAGTGGCAAGAAGCTGTGCTGCAATCCTGAAGGCATGCAGTTCAAGGCCCCCAGCTACTCTGTGAAGAATGGGCAGTCTCCTCCCCTGTGATTAACTGCCTATGAAAACCTACTTGACCGTCAGCTATGGGTCGCCTCCAACTCTATGGGAAACAGTAGTTAAAACCAGACTGGCCTCTTTTTATTGTGCTCTTACCACTGACAGTTTAAGATGAGGACATAGAAAACATCTTCATTTGTCTTAAATGAGCATAAATAAAAGACATTTCTATAAGTCTGCTCTTTGCAGTACTTTGGATACCATGTGAAACCTGGGAGATTTCATATGTGTGGCTGAATGGGAATGAAGATGTTCACCTAATTCTGTTGTTAGTATTTGATAGTGTTTGTCAGTGTTGTAGAAAAAGAATTTTATCACTGGAAAAGGCTTTCTCTAACATTCATTTTATTGTTTAGAAAATGGATGATGAGAACTCTAATGACTTACCTAAGTCAGTGGCAGAATAAAGAGACTCAGGCAGATGTCTCTCCAGTATTATCAGTTCCTGTATCTTCATCCATCTATATATCTCCACCCCGACATTGAAACTGAAATGTTATGTCTGTAGCTCTTTAGATCTGGTTTCTACACCTTTAGGAAAAACATTTTTTATCTTTTAGAATAGGCTGTTATTGACAAGAAGACTTCAGAAATTGTACTTTCGGATGCCCTGACATAGCTATAATTTCTTGTTACTTTTCAAAAACCACTTCTCTTACCCACTTCACATAGATCAGTTCATTTAAAGCCCTTTAGCAACTGTATAAAGTGGCTGATACCTAGGATTTACTGATGAAAAGATTTTCCCTAAGTGCTTAAAAACCAAGAGCCTAAATTTGATATTCTGAAGTTAGGATGACTTAACTCCAAAGCTCATGCTTCTGCAAACAGGCCCTAAAAGACCCCTTACTGACATCAGAACTCAAACTCTGCTGTCTTGTCTAAACCAACTCATAGCTGACCCGCCAGTGTGTTTCTGAGGCTGTAAATCATACAAAGAGGAGACTGCCCTTTTCCCTTTAAGGACCTAATAGATTTGAACCACTCACTTTTAAGGTAGCCATACAACATGCAATGTACTATACTGCTAGGGCTCCTTAACCAAATGTCTAGCACTGTGCTAAGGGCTGTGAGGAGCCTGAAACTAGGACATGATTTGTGATCTCAAGGAGCTGATAGCTTAGCCTGGTAATTAGAGCAATTTGGATATCATAATTGCAAGCTAAATTGTAGGCATTAATGTCTCTTCTGGACTTTCAAATCATTAGCAGTTACCATGCAGTTAAGAATTATGAGCATCAAAAGAGCTGATGTCTCTCGTAATCTGTATAACCACACAGAACTGTTCTGCCTCACCTCCCCTTTTCTCTGATGTTTTTAATGGTATTGTTTGGCTTTCTTGGTTGTTTTATAATAGTGGGACACAGCAGGCCAGGAAAGATTTCGAACAATCACCTCCAGTTACTACAGAGGAGCCCATGGCATCATAGTCGTATATGATGTTACAGATCAGGTACGTTCTCTGGGGAATTATGTTTCAGTAACAAAGCAGAAAGTTAGTATTTGATAAATACTGGGTTCAGGATCTTTATGTGAAAGAAAATTTTGTCCATACACAAATATAAATGAATCACATAAATAATTTGGTTTAAAGTAGTAATCTTTTAAAAATAGGTTTGTTATTTTCCCTTTCAGTCATTTGTACAAATAAATAGGATTGGCCAACTCTAATTTTTTTTTTTTCAATCAAAATTTCCTGTTTTCATTTAGTAAATAGAAAACTTATTTTACATTTGCTTTCAAAATATTTGCATTAACTTTCAGCTGATAGAGCTGATTCACATTGTGCCTCAGAAAGATTCATTTATTCTAATATCTTGAAGTTCTTAGTCCAAAAGTCTGTTTCTGATATATTCCTAGAATTCTGATAGCCTAATGGTAAGGCATTGTGCTGGCAACCCAAAGGTATGAGGTTCAGATCCACCAGCTGCTCTGTAGGAGAAAGGTGGGCAGTCTCCTCCCAGGTGGTTAACTAACTGCCTCTGAAAACCTGCTGGAGGAGTCAGCTGGGGGTCAGTTTATACTTGACAATACAAAGCTAGTTTAGTTTAGTTTAGGGATCTTCTCCTTTATCTGAGATCTATAGATGAATGCAAATGTCTGTTGAATGTCTTAACTGTATTTATTATAACTTTGGTTACTCAGAGTTTGTAGGAATTTGGGGTGGTTTGGTTTATATGATGATCTTGGTATTAAATGAGGGGTTTGTCTTATATCTGTCAGAATTGCCAAAAGTAATGTTAGGGTTCTCTGTCCGTGGGGGATGCACTTCAGGAATAAAGGATTTGACTAAAATGAGCTAAAGAATGATTTTAAGAGGAGATGGCAGATCTAAAGATTAGCCCTTTGCACATTTGGCGGAGGGAGCTCATAGAGATAGGACCTAAGGGAACAATTCTCCCCCCCTCCCCCAATAGTAAACATCATTTCTTTTACTTGAATCCAAAATCCACATCGGAACAATTCTTTTAGACAGAAAGTTAGCAAATTTTAGGATCTTCCCCAACATCCCCTTTCAATGGAAGGAATGAAAAGTAAGCTTTGGAAAGTAGAATTTATTATTTTGTGTGTCACATATTCACTTTCACTTAGGATATTATTAGACATGTGAAGTATTAAGTGGGTGGTATCCATAAGCGAAAATAATATTAATTTAAAAAATGTCAAGTAGTAGTAGACAGTTTTCATCCCCTAAGTATAATTGTTGTTAGATATCAGCGAATCAATTCCCAATCCATAGTGACTCTGAATAGCAAAACCGTGTTTGGTCCTGCCTTGTCTTTATAAACTGCTGAGCTTTACATTAAACCCATTGTTGAAGTAATTGTGCCATTCCCTCTCATTAAACTAACATCTTCCCTTTCAGTCTTCTTATTCAATAGCATCTTTACACAGCTCTAGTAGCAACTGAGAGCAAGCTATATATATATTTTTTAATTTTACTAATTTTAATGAGCATTTACAGAGATTTTGGATTTCCATTCATTCATTGTTGCACATTTCTCCCTGCCCACCCTTCCCCCAGTTTGCTCCTCTCTTTGAAAAGTAGAAGAAAAATTTTTACATTGCTATACAATCCCCCGCACTTCCCACCCCCACCCCACCACCCCACCTGGAGTACACTCCACTATGCAACTTTAATCTGGACTCTTGTGATAACCATAATACCCTATCATATATCACTTTTAAATTTTTCTCTCCCTCATCTCTTTCAATGTAGTATACATAATTTATCCAGTTTTTCTCGTCTTACCCCAATCCTGCTGTCAGTCCCATTCTACAACAGTGGCACTGTGCAGTGTTTGTCCTTTTGTGACTGAGATGTTTCACTCAGCATAATGTTCTCCAGGGTCACCTATTTTGAATACTGTTGCATGAGTTCCTTGTTTTTCAGTGCAGCTTCTCTATACATTCGTTTGTTGATGGGGAGCAAGCTATCTTTTACCACCAAAATTGTATCAAAGTCTCCTGCAACTCATAGTGACCCTATGTTCCCTGAAGCCTGTCCTTTCCTGAACCAGCCTGACTCCGACAAACCCACCTCCACACCCCAGTTATGATCTCATCCAAGGTCTTCCTTCCTCTCCTGCGCTGTCCCTCCACCCTTCTGAGCATGATGACTTTCTCCAAGGATCGGACCCTCCTGGTCACAAGCCCAAGTATGTGAGACTGTCAGAATCCTAGCCGCTAAGGAGAAACTTTACCTTCTGCATGACAGACTAACTTGTTTTCTTGGCGATCCATGGTATGTTCAATACTCTTCTCTAGCACCACAACTCAAAGGCATTGATTGTGTCAGTCATTGTCCAGCTCTCTGATTCATAACAAGTAATTGTGAAGTTCATGGTCTGGATCAGGTGCATCTTAATCTCCAGACTGACATTGTTGCTTCTCAGTGCTCTGGAGAGGTCCCTGATAGCACATTTTCCCAGTGCAATTTGTCTTTTGATTTCTTGACTGCTGGTGGCAAGAGTGTTTATTGTGGAGCTGAGCAGGCTGAAGTTAACTTCAATATCTTCATCTATCATGTTGCTGCTAGTTGGCCCAGTGGTGAGAATCTTTGTCTTCATGATATTGAGGTTCACTTCTTATTGAAGACTACAGTCTTTAATCTTCTGCAGCAAGGGCTTCAGGTCCTCCTCATTTCAGGTTAATGGGGAGTCTTCTACAGACCTGATGCCACATTCCTCCTCATAGAGCCCAGCCCCTTCCTTTATGCTATTCATTTGCATAGTCTCTCAGTTAAATAGATTGACCTGAGTTATAGTTCAATGTTTTTTTTTCCTTTCAGATTTTCACTCTTAAATCTTCAAGTTCTGATTTCTCATTAGCTATGTAAAATTACAGTGTGGCATTTTTTTCTCATTTCCCTGTGTTAACTGGATATCATTGTTGATGTCTGGTAGATGTTTCTTTGTGTTTCATTAACTATGCAGAGGCCTTTGACTATGTGAGTCATAATACATTCTGGATAACATTGAGAAGAATGGAAATTCCAGGACACTTATGCTCACTAAAAACCTCCCCCCTGAACCAGTAGGCAGCATTATGACAGACAGAAAATAGATGTTTTCAACGATTTCCTTTTACTTGGATTCAATCAACAACCATGGCAGGAGCCGTCAAGAAACTAAAATATATGTCGCACTGGGAAAATCCGTTTAAGGACCTCTCTAAAGTGCTGTGGATCAAGGGTATTAGTTTGAAGATTAAGATGTGCCTGTATTTTCAGTTGCTTCCTATCTATCTGAAAGTTGGAAATGAACAAGGAAGATTAAAAGATTATGAAGCTTTTGAATTGTGGTCTTGACAGAGTGTTGACTATACCATGGATTGCCTAAAGAACAGATCTTTGAGGAAGGACCTCTTTAGAGACAAGGATGATACATAAACACCACTTTGGGATGTTATCAGGAGATGGCAGTTGGAAATGCCTTATCCTTGGAAAGGTAGAGGGTCAGAGATTGAGGAAGCCCCTCCACAAGATGAACTCAGTGACTGCGACAGTGGACTCAAACACGGTCGGGCCAGCGTAGGCCGGGGCAGGGTCCTGGATGCTCACAGGGCCACTGTGAGCCAGAGTCGGCTGGAGAGCACCCCCAGCAGTGGCTCTTATTTTGTTGAATTGTCTCACTAGTCTTTTTCTTTGTCTCCAGAACTGTGTTAACCTTCTTAAAAAATGTTTGTCTTTTTAGGAATCCTTCAATAATGTTAAACAGTGGCTGCAGGAAATTGATCGTTATGCCAGTGAGAATGTCAACAAGCTGTTGGTAGGGAATAAATGTGATCTGACCACAAAGAAAGTAGTAGACTACACAACAGCAAAGGTACGCTTAACGTCTGCTCTTCAGGCTGCGTTTGAATCATTTTGGGGGTGGAGTCCGGCAGCATCTATACAAGCACCGTAAAAATGGACGCACTGGAGTGTGTGACCATCGAGGAGTTTGTGTAATGTCTGAATCCAGTAAACAGATTCCTTTGTCCATTTCAGGTAGCAAAATTTCATGAAAGGACCAAAGATTAATCGTGCCTCCTTCTTCTGTTAGGAATTTGCTGATTCCCTTGGAATTCCATTTTTGGAAACCAGTGCGAAGAATGCAACGAATGTAGAACAGTCTTTCATGACAATGGCAGCTGAGATTAAGAAGCGGATGGGCCCAGGAGCGACAGCTGGTGGTGCCGAGAAGTCCAATGTGAAGATTCAGAGCACCCCAGTCAAGCAGTCAGGTGGAGGCTGCTGCTAAGATCCGCCTCCGTCCTTCTCACAGCAAAGAGTTTGCAATCCGAACCCAAGTGAAAAAAACAAAATTGCCTGAATTGTACTGTATGTAGCTGCACTACAACAGGTTCTTACCGTCTCCACAAAGGTCAGAGATTGTAAATGGTCAATACTGACTTTTTTTTTATTCCCTTGACTCAAGACAGCTAACTTCATTTTCAGAACTGTTTTAAACCTTTGTGTGCTGGTTTATAAAATAATGTGTGTAATCCTTGTTGCTTTCCTGATACCAGACTGTTTCCCGTGGCTGGTTAGAATATATTTTGTTTTGATGTTTATATTGGCATGTTTAGATGTTGGGTTTATTTTAGTCTTCTGAAGATGAAGTTCAGCCATTTTGTATCAAACAGCACTACCAGTGTCTGTCACTTCCATGCATAAAGTTTAGTGAGATGTTTTATGTAAGATCTGATTTGCTAGTTCTTCCTTGTAGAGTTAAAATGGAAAGATTACACTATCTGATTAATAGTTTCTTCATACTCTGCATATAATTTGTGGCTGCAGAATATTGTAATTTGTTGCACACTATGTAACAAAACTGAAGATATGTTTAATAAATATTGTACTTATTGGAAGTAATATCAAACTGTATGGTGATAAGTATTGTTTTAATTCTTACGGTTAAAGGGAATTATAACCTTGCATTATACTCAAAACGGCCATCTCTGTGTGCAACCAGGGCATTGTAGACCTATCTTACCTACAGCAGCATCCAATGCGATTCCTAGGTAATCCCTGATAAATAAATGAGTAGGTGTCTACGCTGTTAGGGATTTAGCCAACCCTAGTGGTTCAGGAAGATTAAACTTTGGGGAAACAAGTATGTTTAGAATGTATGTTATGTAGCTTATACCTGCTGATCTTCTCTAAGCATTTGAAATGGCTTCATTTAATCTACATTTGTTACTGATCTGTGGTAGTGAGGAGGAGCACACCTTCCAGAGCTGGTGAGACTGATTAACAGGTGTGCCACAGTTCCTTCCAGGCTGTCAGCTGTTGACCGTTTTATCCTTCACACCTCTATTACTTATGTGGGAGGAAGGTTAAACATTGACGTGAGAAGCAGGAAATGAACTGTACACCCTAATTCTAAGAGATCCCTGAAAGTGAAGTGGAAGCATGCATTCAGGTGGGGAATATACATAAGGAATAGATTTATTTGGGTGGGATTTTGCACATAAGAGAATTGTATCCCTAAGCTACTTGGTGGGGTGGTTTTTGGTTGGCTTTTTTTTTTAAGTGAGAAACCAAACCTTTCTTCTAACACTGGCATTTTAACACAAGTGAGATAAAAGTTTTCTTTTTGGGGGTTGAAATGGCAGTCAAAATGTTCTTCACATAGGCATTTGGGATTGAGATATGGCTGTTGGCAACACATTTTGTGGTGGAGATCTTTAATTCACTGATAAATTTCAAAACAAGCCAAAAATTAAAGGTTTATTTTTCACTAAACGGGCAGTTGAAATACATGGTACAAAAATAAGTGGTAAGATTATTGTAAAATGATATGGACAGAATAAATATTCAATTTAATTTTCCATCTATGAGAATTTCACAATAAAATCATAGTTTACTTTGTATTATAGACGTGCTTTTTGGATCTCTTCATCCTTACATAAGGCAACTGACAATTTCCTGAAATTACCAATAGTTACTTGGGTGAAGATCTTTAATGCTTCAAAAGGTTTCTTCTTTTCCCAAACCTTACCAATACAATGTACTGGGGTAAAATCCATGAACTATTATCTAAAGAAGCTGAATGACAGAAAACAAATGCACTGCTTTTTATACAGCAAGTCATTTAATTCAACAGCTTATTCTTGGCAAGTTAGCAAAAAAACCATAAATTTAAGATACAAACATATTTACAAAGTTTAGAGCTCTGTTTCTTCCCCCTTGACCATCAAGCCTGGGACTAACCACCAGAAGTGTGTGCCTCACTCTGCTTTGTGTGTCTGCTCGTAAATACTCAGACCACTTCCACCTTCATTTTTGAGTATGCACCCTTCAAGCTACTGTGGGCTTCACTAATCCGTTTACTTTAAAGGGAGGCTATTGTTGGGTGCCACGTGGCTGCTAGGAATTGCTTACTTCATCATGAAGACTCAGTCTAAGGCCTCAGGATCTTTGTCCATCACTGTAGAACAAATGGGCAGTCATGTAACTTGCTTGCACTGGCATTTCCTTTAGCATACCTGTCGTTCCAGCCTGCAGCCAGCACAAGTTCCTGTGCAAGTTTCCAAACAGCCCTATCTTGACATCAGCCCCCGTTTTCTGATGAGCTTGGGCAGAGACACTAAACAAGACGAGAACTTGGGCCTCTAAAAATGACATCACTGTAGACTTAGAATTTCATAACTTGCCTGTCTCTTGGCCAGCCAGGCTGCTTCAATACCTGAACCTGTGGCCTGTTGGGGGAAATACCACCTCATACTGTGTTTGAAGGGAGAGCTTAACCCTAAAGCACTGCGTAAGACAGTGAACAGTCCTCTGATCCTCCTCACTGGCATTCATAGCCAGGTCTGGAGAGCGGATGCCTCTGTCACACCTTTCTTTCAAAGGGGAGCAACCTGTCTTACATCACAGTAGGTAAGAGCACATTCTCAGAAAATGGGGCATGTCAAAGTAATGCCTGTCACACGAAGGAGATTACAATCCAGGGTGTCTGGGACCAGACCTACATCCTGTGGGTCAGTGGCTGTGGTAGCCACAAGCTGCTTGTCGGGTTAGCACCTTTGGTTTACATGCAAACAGAGGCTCTTTCTTAACACAGTACTAGACACACGGGTCAGCCTGCTAAGGGCTCTACACAAACCGCCTCGGTGCAAAGGCAAGCAGCCCATTAAGACAGGTCTGCCTTTTTAACCGCTCCTAGGTTACTTTTTATGTACACATTTAAAACTGATAATCATTTGGTAAGGGAGTAAGTCACGTATGGAATTAAGGAGATGGCAGTATTGTGGTTTAATTTTGATTATGTCTTTAAGCATCATGGTACATCATACCACAGAAGCAACAGGTACTTGGACACGGCCTCTGATTAGGCCCTATTAGTGAATTTTAAAAATACTATCCCTTGACACCAAATCTTTATTTAAATGGCTCATCTTCCAGTGACTGAAACGGAGAACTTCAGAAATACAGAGTCACATCTGACAGTAAGGCTTGTACGTTCCCATGGCAGTGGATGGGGTGGAAATACAATTTTGCTGTTGAGCTCTCAAAACCCGGAGCCTTGGATTTCTTTTCAACACAGTGAGTTTATATACTGGAAGTCAGTTTATGTGAGAAGACTTGTTCCCTCACTGGCTTCAGGATCTTTTGCTTCTTTATGAGCCTGGAAGTGCTCTCTCAAATCTCAAGTGTTCACTTCACATACAGGGGTATTCCTTGCTTTGCCTAGAGTCTGCTTTTACGATGAGTACCTATTTTTGCTAAGTGGCGCTTTTGTGAGAAAACATGAAAAGCGGAACTAGCATTTTAGCCTTTTGTCTTCCAGGAAGCAATGGAGAGGCAGTGAACCCCGAGCAGGGTTACCACGCTCTTTCCCCAGAAACAGCACTTGGCATCCAGCCACCGCTGCCTGAAACACTATATACTAGTGCTCTCTTGGATTTTGTTACTCTGATGCTGGAGGCAGCTTTTGGCGTCTGGAAATGCACAAAAATGTTCTCATCTAAATTGTCAGCTGCCTCTTGCACCCATTTTGGCTTAAGAAAGGTTTGGTAAGACCACTCTGCTTTGAGATCCGCAGAGGAACCTGCATGTAATTAATTCAGTGTGAACAACTCCTAAAGTCCTAGCCCATTGTTATACAAAAAAAACAGAGAAAAATGGGCTTGTCCCTTCTGTGTTCATCCACATTCAAATGAAAGTGCTTCTGTTTGTGCAGTCTCCAGTTAATAATAATAGGTTATTTTGGCTTTAAATGGTTAATCCAAAGATTCTCCTCCCCACTTCCTGTCCCAAGTATTTACATGGCAATTCCCAAGCAAGCAAGAAGTCCCTTCTCGTCTTTCATAAAGACACCCTTAACTTCTGTGGCCGACCAGACCGTCCCTCTCCTCTTCCTCCTCCTCCCTTGATGAGCTGTCCCTCTGTAGGGAAGAAGCAGCAGATCCTCCGAGAAGTAACGTCACGCTCTGTAGTCCTGGTGATGCTCACCTTCCTAAGTCCTTGCGACATTTTCCTTTTAAAATATTAGGAACACGGAGCCTTGACGTGTGACAGAAGGTGTCTTAGAGTTCAAAACCATTTGCAGAGAATATTGATACCCACCTCTTTCTCACGTTTAGACTAAGCTTCTGCACACCTTCAGAAGAAATTAACAGTAACCTAAGCTTCATTTTATGAAGAGACTGAAGTCCTTGGGCAACATTCACTTGGCTTCCACCTTGTTGCCCCCCTTGCCCCTGGCTAAGACAGTCATGCATTGGGTAACTTGCTAGATGAGAATCAGCCTGTGGACAAGCACGGGTGCCCTGGGGAGAGTCATCGTATTAGCATTACTCTGCCAAAAACTGAAAAGTCACATGTTCTGTGTAGAGAAGCACCAAAAGGCAAACCTCCATTGGGGAAGATTTTAAATAAAACAGTAGCCAATAGCCCTTACTTCACAGAAGAGAAAGGCATTTAAAGCTGAAAGTCAGTTACACTCTCCCTTTGACTTCAGGTTTAACTGACTCTGGCAGGACTTCCTGAGTTTTCATCCTCCAGCCCAATTCTGGCTGGGGGAGCAGGCCTCTGCCTGAGGAGATACCTGGAAGAGAAAGAAAAGCATTTGTTACAGATATGCTGAGAAGACAACAGGCCCGAGACAAGCACCTTATTCCTTAAGAACTGGAGGACTCCTTGCTCTTAACAATCTAGACTTTGTCCTTGCTCTTGTCAAGAGTGAATTCCTAATGGGAACAATCTCAGGCACTGACTAAGTCGGGTGGCAGCTCAAAAGTAAGAATGACCAACCCAGTTGGCTCCTTTACTGGGACTAAGGGCCCACTTGTGGAATCACGAGAACCCTGGACAGTGCAGAGCCCCTCAGCGGGCTCCTGCCCATCAGCCTCCTCAGGGATCTATCAGTTTTCTTTTTTCTAAGAAAACTTGCAAGGTATGCCTGCTACTTTCCCTTTTTGGAAGGGAACATGGGAGAATCACCGAGATTTTTGGTGGGGAGCGCATCTACTCCGTTCCTGTGGGTACTTGGTGCCATCCGAGTTGCCCTAGGACACCAAATGCGTGGGGTGAGACAAGTCTGCACAGCAGAGGATGCCCAGGGTTGGCCCCATACCAAAGGGGTAGAGATGTGCAGAAATTTGAAAAAGGAGCCCCAGATAAGTTTCACTTCTGCTACCCTTGGGTGGTGGGTATGGTGGCGGTTAAAGACAGTGTCAGAAAAACGAGTGTGGAACACCCAGCAAGCGGCAGGGAGAGGGGGAAACAGTCCTGGAAAACACGGGAAGACCCACAGCCAGGTCCCCCCCCGTCCTGCCTCATTGGTCTCACAGCACTTGGCTCTATGAGCTTCTGACAGACGATCCCACAGGAGCTCTGCAGCTTGGTCACCCCTCGGTTAGAGAGCAGCTCATCCCACGGGGGGGCTGTGCTTACCGGGCTACAGCCCCTCACACGGACTCTCCTGTGCTCTCATGGGCTTACTGTCGGGGATAAGGGTGCAGCCGGCCAGCATGTCCAGAGAGGCCAAGATGGAGTCATACACGTGATCCGCGTGGCTCTCCAGGTCACTCGTCTGCTCTGAGATCCTCCCCAGCACATCCTTTAACACTAACAAAGGGTGGAGCATTACACGTATGCACGCACACCTCCCCCAAGTAGCCACTCCTCCCACCCCAAGGCCACAGAACAACCAGCAGCAACACATAACAGTGGCTCCAGGGTGGGCCTTCGAGGCACCAAACGACCTACGCTGGTCACCTCAGAGGGTGGAGAAGATCATTGGCCCTGCTTAGGAGACACACAGGTCTGTAAGGGGCCCGGACAACGTCTTGTCACTAACATCACTCGTCCTGCACACCAACCTGGAGCACGCAGACCCTCCTGGCAGGTTTAAAGGCACCACACACCAAGATAGGTGCTGGGCCTTGCCACCAGGTCCTGTCACCTCCCATGGGCTTGGGGACGAGAGCGGCAGCAGATGAAGGGGGGGGGGTCTAATGAGCTCTGGTGGTACACTGGTTAAAAGCAGCCAGGTACGTAAAGGCCAGGTGCTCAAACTCACCATCCACCCTGCAGTCTGCCTCACTGATCTACAGTTGTGCGGAAGTTGGGATATTCTCCAGGGCTGCGAGGAGTTAGGAGGACTCCCTGGTGCTGGCTCTGTTTTTGTAAGGAAGGCCTAGTCATCCATTTGGGGATTCACTCTTTGATTTGTTGTAGTTGTCAGGTGCCATCGAGTATGACCCATGAACAACAGATCTGAACCCTGTCCTGTCCTCACACGTCCTGACACACGCGAGTGTCAATCCACCTGGTTGAGGGTCATTTCTCCTTCACTGACTCCTTACCTTCCCAAGCGTCATGTCCTCTCCAAGGAAAGCTTGCCTTGTAGATCCCAGTTAAACAGGCTTAAAATGAACTAAGTGAAAGCCAGGGGGGCCCCAGAAGGCTGGTGAGGGGGATTCACATTGTGGGAGTTCTGTGGACCTGAGAAAGGGACCGCCCAGGTCGGACGCCAGGCACAGCAGGACCCAGCACCAGGCACAGTGGGCCCCCAGGACCCAGCGCCAGACACAGCGGGCCCCCAAGACCCAGCGCCAGGCACAATAGGCCCCGGTCTTCTCTTTTCAAAGTTTTGTTTCTTCTGTGAAGCACAAGGGCTGCCTGAGCCTTCTGGGCCTTTATCAGCTGTGCGTTTCCTGCCGCAGTGGTGACAGGAAGCAGAGCGGAAGCTGATCCGCAGACGTGAGCAGAAAGGAGCCGCCCGGGAAGCCCAGCCGTGCAGTGTCATCAGGACGGGGCTGTCCCCACGGCTGAGCAGCACTGGCGGAGCCGGGAGGCGTGCAGCCTGAAGCAGCTCTGCCTGCAAGCGTGACTGCACTGGGGTCTTCCCCTCGGGCTCTGAGACCTCTGCTCAGCCGCGTGGGTTTCAGGATTCAGCGGTTTTCTGAGCACCGGCAGTGGGCGGTTAAAGTTCTTGTCTGCTAACAAGAGCTTGGTGGTTAGATCCCACCAGCAGCCTGAGGTAGAAAGATGAAGCTTAGGGCACTGATGGGCAAGCTGCCTGCTGGTGTACCTGAAGGGGACGAGTAAAGGAAGGTAGGAATGGTGATGAGATTGTCCCATAAACCGACTCAATGCCAAACCGGTTCAAACCTCTGATGAACTGGCACGAATTCAGATGGGAGAACAAGGAGATGAGCTGAAACAACTGAGTTGGAAGGTCCAGCCTGCAGCTTTGTGTGGAGGCCCAGGGCAGGAGGCAGGGCCGTATGGAGGGGAAGGGTGATTCTGGCATCATTTCCGTCAGGTGAGGGACAATCCAGCAGCTGCTCCAAGCGAGAAAGATGTGTAATCGCCTCCATGCGACTGACAGCCTCAGGACCCAGCCCAGGGTCGGCGCTCAGTGCAACTCAGGGCAGGCAGCGAGCGTGAGCTGCTTCGTCCTCGGATGATGCTCACGTGGGAAACGCGGCTCTGAGGGCGCTGACTGTGCCAACCCCAAAGACACCACGTGGTTCTCACTGAGATGGGGAGTGTCGAGGGGGCTTCACAAAAACAGCCACGTTCCCCTTTATTTCAAGAAAAGAGGTTGTAGAGAAAACCCAAAAGGTGCTTGTTTTAGTCAGTAAGCTTGGAAGCCTTCTGAGAGAAGGTAAAAGTGAGAGGTTCTCATTAATGGATTAAGCACTTGGTAAGTGTTTGAGTTAGTTCTCCAGTGAAGATCAGCGCTCCTCCTGTATTTTTTAAATGCGTCTCACTTCCCCTCCTGCCACGGCCCCCTGCACTCCCCTTCCTAACTGAAGGCTCCAGGCAAGCTGAGACCGCTAAGGTGCAGTAGTCAGGATACCTCTCCCAGGCTGGGCTCAGAAGGGAAGTGTGCCGCCTCAGCCCACGCAGCCGCCGTGCCTGGCATGGGCAGAGTATTCCGTAAAATGCTGCCATTTTAAGTAGCCAAGCTTTGTCCCCACTGCCATCAAGGTGGTTCTGGCTCAGAGCTGACCCGCCACCATTTCCTCTGGGGCTGACAATCTTTACAGGAGACTGCCCACCCTTCTTCCATGGAGCAGCATGGGGATTCAAACAGCAGACCTTTGGCTGGCAGTGCAACACACACCAGAAAGCAAGGAGCAAGGCATGCTCAGGTTCTGACCCAACAAAACCAAAACCCCAAAGACCCTAAACTCAAACACAGGAAGCAGCAAAACAAAGCCCTTACAGAATTCACACCAGATGGTCACTTCTCTGCTCAAAACTCTTCTCCTTCAGTGGCTCCCTGTCCATTGAAACCCCCAGACGTTGTCAGGGGCCATGGAGTACGACTCACAGTGACCGTGTGAACAGCCGACCTGAACTTGGCCCTGCCCTGTGCCCACCTCACCATCTCTGACACAGGTAAGCTCACTGCTGCAGTCACGATGTCAATCCCTCGCTGGGGTCTTCCTCTCCTTCACTGACCCTTCATCTTCCCAAGCATGATGTCCCTCTCCTAGGAGAACCCTCTCCTGGCAACATATCCAGACTATGAAAGATGAAGCTGTATCATCTTTGCCTCCAGGGAGCTCTGGCTGCACTCTCTCTAAGACATATCTGTTCTGTTGGCCATCCATGGTGCTATCCTCCCATACCACAGCTCAAAGGCATCAATGCTTCGGTCATCCCTGTTCACTGTCCAGCTCTCTGGTGCGCAGCAGGTGACCCAGAAGAGCATGGCCTGAATGTCTTTCAATTCTGACCTGACCAGTTCACCCCTTGGACACTTGGCGAAGGCTGGAGACATTCTGTCCTGAGGGTGTGCTCCTGCAGGCCGGGAAGGTTGCTAAAGATGCTACCCAACAGCATCCCCAACAAAGACTAGCTCACCCACCGTGCCAAGTGGCACATTTCTGCCGACGAAGGTTCTACCTCACTGTCCCTTCAGCACCGGCAGGTCCAGCTCCGATTATGCTGACTGTTCCCGAAGCAAACCAGCCCTCATCCTGAACCCAGGGGGAGGCAGGAAATAGATGGGCTTTTTGTCAGCAGTCTTGTAGACCACCAGGTACATCTTATGAAGGGGCACCAGCTGCTCCTTCAGCCTTACCCTATCCTAGATCACCCTTCCTGCCACGTGCACCCTCCTCCAATCTCGCCGGGGACGTGGGCAGCACCACGCTTGTTTAGATGAGCTCCTAAAATCAACATGATTTTTATATTTTTTCCAAAACAAGGCAGTAAAAATTACAAAACAGGTGTGGGTGTGGCGTGCAGGCACACTGCTACTCTGCCCCCAGCTCCCTCTGCAGATGGCTGGCTACCCAGATCCCCCTGAAATAAAGAATGCTTTCCTGGTGGGACTGGAGAGCCTGGGGACACCCCCAAGCTGCCCCTTTGAGCACTTCACCCAAGACCAAGGAGCCACTGCTGACCGACAGACAGCCTTGGAGCGAGTGGCCGCAGGGCTGTGCCAGGGCATCTGAGCCGCCTCGGGGAGCACCAAAGTGTTGGAATAGTCCAGCTCAATGCTTAGTCTGTCGTGCCACCAGGACCCCCACCTAGTTCACCCCCAGGGACCTAAAGGCACAGCAGAACCAAGCCTAGCTCTGCCAGGCCCGACTTACACTCTGGACTGGCTCTTTAAGACACGTATGACAACGGTCTCACCGTATGTGCTTGCACAGGGTGGCGGAAGGGAGAGAAGCGAAGGAGGCTGTGGTGTGAGGGGCTGTCTGGGGTGCCAACAGTTGATGTGTGCATGCTGAGAGGGGCAGGGATGGCTTGAACAATGTCTCCCCAGTGGCGGTGGGGTCGCTGAGTCTGAGTCAACTCTGAGAGGTCAAGCTCTGGTCAAATGCAAAGCCTCATTCAAGCACCTCACCTGGGGTGTTCTCCAGCAGACTCTGAAGCAGCCGCTCCCCCTTCTCCAAGACGCTCTCTGTCAAGAACTGGTGCTCGTCTATATCTTTCTTAAATTGCTTCAGGCAAAGCAGAGGGAAAAAGAAAAGTCTCATTACTACTGCTTTGTAAGAAATTCTTAAGAAGGAACATCAGAGGACAGCACAGGAACCTGCACCTGGGTAACTGTTTTGACGGCTAACGCTGCGTTTTCTCCATCAACTCTTTCCACAGAGGTGGTCAATCTGATTCCTGTGCAGTCCATCAGGTGAGGGCCAAATGTATAATCACTGTTTATATTTTTTTAAAGGTATTTACAATTAATAAGTCATTGAGTATAGAAAAAGAGAATTGATGCCTTTTGGCTGTGGTGCTGGAAAATAGTATTGAATATACCATGGACTGCTAAGAGAACAAACAGGTTCGTCCTGGAGAGGGTTAAACCAGGCTGCTCCTTCCTTGGAGGCAAGGATTCTGAAGCTCCGTCTGACATACTTTGGACCAGTCCTTAGAGAGGGACATTGTGCTCAGGAGGGTAAAGGGACAGCCCAGGAGGGGAAGACCCTCTATGAGGTGGATTGATTCAGTGACTGGGGTAATCAGGGTGGGTGTGTTGGAGACAGTGAGATTGGCACAGGGTAGAGCAGGGTTTAGGGCTTTTGTACATAGGGTCACTAGGAGTCACAGGCGACTCGACGGCACATTAACAACAACATGCAAAATTCCATCATTTGCTCTCCAGCCTCATTTCTGTTATCAAGGTCATAGTTTTGCATTCCAGTTTCGCCAATTATTACTAATGCACCTTGAGTGCAGATTCAGTCAATTTCAACAGCCTAAGTTGGTAGATATACTCCATTTTCTAGACTGTATGAAGAAGAATGTGCCATCAGGATTGGAGAAGACTCATCAACAACCTGCAACTTTGGAGTCATCAATGCTTCTGAATTATGGTGCCACAGAAGAGCAGTGACTAAACCCCATGGACAAAAGAACAAGCAAGGCTGTCCTGGAGGAAATGCATCAGGGCTGCTCCTTGGAAGTAAGGATGGTGAACATCCACCTCACATACTTCGGGCATGTCGCCAGGAGAGATCAGTTCTTGGAAACAGGCGTACTGCTGGGAGGAGCAGAGGGTCCAGGAAACAGAAGCGGACCCTCGGAGAGACACACTGACCCAGTGACTGAAATAAGGGGTGCAAACAAGGCTGAGACTGCCAGGACGATGCCAAGCAGGGTGAGACTGTGACCTCTGTTCCTAAGAGTCAGGATGAGCTGTCGACTCAGTTCAGCCAAGGGAACTCCGGTGGCCCAGCCAGCAGGGAGCCGTGCTGCTAACCCAAAGGTGTTGCCTGTCTGGCAGTTCAAATCCCCCTGCAGCTCTTGGGGAGGAAAATGGGCTCTTGTGCCTCCAGAAAATCAGCTGGAGGGTCAGGTATGAGTCAGTTACGACTCGACAGCAATGAGAGTGAGTTCAGTTTAGCCAAAGTTCATGTAATATTTAGGCAGCTGTACAATTTACCATCCAAACGGCTTCTAAAAATTATTTTAGGGGGTTATAATGTTAGATCTAAACAACCATAGACCAGGATATATAGTAATGAAGGGTTCTATACACCTACACTGTTCAACCCAACAGCCAAGACACTCAGGGCATCTGAAATACGGCTAGTCCGAGCAAACGGCTGAATCTTCAATGGGATTTTAATTAGATTTCAGTTTCAACAGCCGTCTGGGTTAATCGGGATGGGTGTGTCAGAGGCAGTGCAATTGGCACAGGATAGAGCAGGGTTTAGGGCTGTTGTACACAGAGTCGCTATGAGTCGCAAAGGACTCGACGGCACAGAACAACAACATGGATAGTGGCTACTGAATGGACAGCAGCATCTCTCCAGACCTTTCTAACTTTGACACATTTAGAAAATTAAACTGCACCTTTACTTTCAGTTTTATACATAATTTTTGTGGTTTTTGTGATTCGTTGTTGAGAATTCCGTAAAATTTAATAGCAACTCAATGGCTTCTGCATGTACCATTAGTGACCCTGATGACATTTTCCAAGAGGTGGCCATTCCCACCCCCCTGGTCTGGCTGTTCCTCCTTCTCATATGCACTGCCCCCACCCCTCCCAAGGGTCCTATCTAGTCCACACAGATAACAAGGCTCAGGCCAGTGCTTTTCCACCTGGTTTTAAGATGACTTCAGGGGTTTTAAGGAACATGGCATCCATGAGAATTTAAATTCTATGCTGCACGTCCCTTTTTTTACAACATTTTTGATCAAAATGTCCAGTTATGGCAGCCAGGCACCACCAGTTCTCAGACTCTCAAAGCAAAGGAGGCAATTAGCTACACATTCCCATCTTCCCTTAATTCATCTTTTATCAAAGAAAAAGACATTGTACCTTCTCCCACCTCCATTTGTCAGGACAGTAATTCAGACACGTTAGGAAATTTTTCAGTATTAACATTTTTGAGGGAAAGGGACTTTTCACGAGATTCCAGGCACAGCAGTCACCTGAGCCATGAGAAGATGTTTTGAGGTGCGCGTGCATCCAGGCAGGCCCCCACACTCACCCGGTAAAGCTGCAGCGAGGACTTGAGGCCTGCGAGGCTGGACCTGCGTGGAAGGAGGTGGCCGCTCACGTCTGCTACGTTATACAGCCAGTGGATCAGCTCCTCCAGCTGAAGGCAAAACGCCTGTTCACACAAACAAAGGGAGGTTTCTGATGGAGCTGCCCTCGACAATGGTCAAGAGGCTAAAGCCCTCAGACGTTCAGCACAGGGACTGCACCCTTCCTGGGCTCTCTGTCCCGTCTCCTCTCTCCTCCACCCCCTGGACTCCAGGACTCCACCACCGTGTTCTACGTCTCCTTGGCCTCAAATGCAGCGCCTGGGCAGCACCCACACTGCCTCACGGTCTCCCTCCAGAATGGCGTGGAGTTGGCTCACAGGGCTGTCCAAGCCCTAAGCCTTTACAGAAGCTGACTGCTCCATCTCCTCGCACAGAGTTGCTGGTGGATTCAAACCACAGACCTCTCAGCAGCCCAACACTCCCTGGACCCCACCTCGCCTCCTCCTTCAGCTGGATGTTGTGGTTGTTAGGTACCGTCGAGTCAAGTATGACCCACAGTGACCCTGTCAACAACAGATCTGAACCCTGTCCTATCCTGTGCCAGCCTCACACTTTTGTATACACTCATGCTTATTGCAACAGTCGCTGTTTCGATATATCTGGTTGAGGATCTTCCTCTTTGCTGTTCCTCCACCTTTCCAAGCATGGCATTCCTCTCCAAGGATCAGTCTCACCCAGCAACATGCCCAAAGCATGTGAGGCAAAGCTTCCCCATCGCTGCACCTTCTCCAAGGTTTGTTCGTTTGGCCGTCAGTGGGATATTCACTACACTTCTCCTGTTCCACAGCTCAAAGGCATTAATTCTTCTTCTGTCATCCGTATTCATTGCCCAGCTCTCAGAGGCATGGTAAGTAAAAGACCACAGCCTGGATCAGGCACACCTCAGACAGTTTGATGTGACACCAGAAATGACAGGCTGAGAATACAGCCCTACATTCGAGTGACTACTACAGATTAGGGCAAGCGCAGGGGGACAGTCCAGAGATCAGGACCAATCCGTGCATGGAGGCCACGCTGCCCTCTCAGACTGAGTCTGTGAGAGACATGAATGAAAAGTTATTAAGTCTATCCAGTGGCACTGAGTAGGGCACAGGACAGGGTTCAGATCACAGGTTTGCTGTGAGTCATAGTTGGTTCAATGACACCTAACAACAGCAACTATGACTACTCTGTTCTCAGAACCGAAGTGAGGAGCATGTGTCTCTGCTCTGCCCCCACCTCTGCCCAGGGAGTGGGGCCCCTAGACTGCCGACCATCAGCTGCTTGACTGTGGGAGGCTGTACGCCAGGCCCTTTACCTCACAAGACAATCTCAACCTTTTATCACAAAAAAAGGTGCATGTACCCTTCGTCCACTCTGCTTTACAAAGCAAGGAACACCCACAGGAGGTGGCCGGGAAGGTTAACACCTCACCCACAGGCTACGAAATGGGATGGGATCCCCATACCCTCCCTCAGCGCACAGCACTCGGAGACACTGGGCCTGAAGCTTCCCAAAGCACTACTGACTTAGTGGTTGAGAGCTGCCCTGTTAACCCAAAGGTACAGGGGTCGAATCCACCAGCTATGCCTCAGGAGAAAGATGGGCAGCGTCCTACTTTGCCCTTTACTGCTGAAAACCCACTGGAAGGTCAGCTGGAGGCAATTCTGACTTGATGGGACACAACAGCAACATGCCTGACACTCCAGCAAGCGTCGAGGCCCGAGGCCTGCCATAGGGACTGTCTATCAGGGGCGTAGACACAGAAGCTCTGAAGGATTTCAATTCAGTTCTGCAGCTCAAGCCCCTCTCCCATAGAGCAGGTTTTGTGGCTCAGGGCCGGAAATGGTGAGTCGGTGGAATGACCTTAACTTTGATGAGTCACCCCTCGAGCTCCAGGAAGCCCTGCCCTCAAGACAGTCACTTCCCTCTGCCTGGCCCAGCGTGTCTGCGGGAAGCTTTCTGTGCAGCTTGTGTCACACGCTGGACAGCCGGGGGTGGTGACCAGGCACCCGGCCCTACGCCTGTCTGGAGGCGCCTCCTGGTTCCAGCCCTTGCCAACTCCCTCTCTGAGCCTTTTCCCAATGGTAAAATGAGGGAGGGTCAGAATGGTAAAACAGGGTTCCTGGCACCCACAAAGGTTCAGGCAGCTTCCACAGCCCTGCTGCACTGGCAGTGGACTAGAGGACGCAGGCTGCCTCCCCACAAAGCTCTGTCCACGCCCTGCACCCTTACCTTCACGCACTGCACAAGCGATTCTGTCCCCTGCTCTCCTCTCCGGTGAGGCTGCCCGTCGGCATCCAGGTCGGAGAACACCCGCTGATGCAGCACGGCCTGGCAGGAAGGGGGGGCGCTCAGCGGTCCAGAGGGCACCCCCAGGGCCTGGCTGCTCACCAGACTGCCTTCACCCGCAGAGCCCGGGGGCCGGGCCAGAGAGCGCAGGACACAGCGGCTCTGGTTGCTCGAGGGACGCTGGCTCTGACTCGAGTGCGACGGCAGAGAAGTCAGCCCGTCGCTGTCCGAGACGTCCAGGGAGCTCCGTCCTTCAGCAGCCCCGGCGGGCAGTGGGGGCAAGGTTGGGATGGAACCGACGTAAGACAGCAAACTCGAGGCCTGGCTCAGCCGCGGGGGCAGGGCTAGGTACTCATCTTCACTCTCCACCTCTTCTGCTTTCCAGCCCGAGGCCACGGTCGGGGTGCGCTGGGCGTTGTGACCCTCCCTCACTGGCTTGCACGAGGGGCCCCCTCCACCCTGCGTCCTCAGCGTGGGAGAGCCCCTCTCCTGGCGCGTGCCCACGGGCAGCCGGACCTTCGAGCCCCTCAGGCTTGGCTCTCTGCTCTGCCAAAGAGCAGCCCTGCTGCTGGGGACTCTGGGGGTGGATGCGAGCTGACAAGACGGCAACCTCGTGCTGCCCTGCTTCGGGGACCCTCCGGGAGGCCAGCACTTCAGGCTCGGCTCTCCAGGCTCAGGGCACAGCTGGACCGTGGCCTCTGCTGTTGGGCAACTGTGGGCAACGTTGGTGGGGGATTTCAGGGTGCTTGCTGGGGAGACAGTGAAGCTGTCCAGGTCGACACCAGAGTCCTGCAGCACTGGGTCAGTCAGCACACGGCTCTCGAGGTGCTTTGGGGGCAGGCGCCCCGGCCTGAGGGGATACGTGTAGTCAAGCAGGTCTTCATACTCCTTATTCGGGTTCCAGAAAGGGGAGTGGCGGTCAGGGGAGGGAGGCAGGGAGTCTGGGAGCACGCACGCCCAGTACTCGGCCTGGAAGGAGAGGTGTCTCCTGCTGGGCCCCGCAGCTCCACGTTCCGAGGACACAGGTGGTGGTGACCAGGGGAGCCGTGGCCCTGGCTCCACCGGAGACCTGGGCGACGGGGGGACAATCAGCTCCACAGAGGAGGGGCAGACCTCGGCCCGGGGGCAGCTCTGAGGGTCGGCCTTCTCCTGACAGCTCTGGACGCTGCTGGCTGGCGAGGAGGAGGAGATGGTGCGGCTGGAGAGCTGAGGCCCAGCAGCGCCCGGGCCGGCCCTGGACTTCCACCTTGATGGCAAAGAGAATCCCGAGCTGCGAGGCTGTGGGCTGAGGTCCAGCACCTGGGGCGAGTCCCCAGGGGCCAAGTCGTCCTCGGTATCCGCGTCGTGTCCTGAGCAAGAAGCTGCGGGTCTGGGAACGGTCAGCATCGGATGTGGCTCCACGGAGGCAGGAAGACTCGAGTCCTCCAACTGCAGCAAAGAAAAGGCCAATCATCCCACCACGCTTCTCTCGGAGCTGGGACTGCCCTTGGATGCCTCAACAACATTCGGGGAAACTGAACGTGCGAAGGGCCTGCTGCCCGAGGTAACAGCAGACAGCGCGCCGGCCGCTGCGGGCAGCTGGACACTCAGCCTGCTCCGGGCAACAGGATGGTTGCCCCACACTAACCTTCCACTCCCCCTACCCCCACCCACTAGCTGGAGAGTAAGAACCTGGAGGGCGCCGTCATGCCCTGCCCCACCTCTGAGGTGCCCACCACTCTGTCTGAGGATCACAGCTGAGCCCAGCAGGCAGGGGCCCCCCACACCACACCACCCAGTTCAAATACCAGCAATAACCAAACTCGGGCAAAATTATTCGCTCACCTCAGCTTTTCAAAGGAATTCCCTCTAATTTGTGTTTATTTTGTTGTTGTTGAGAATAGACCCCGAAAAGCAAAGCCCACCTCAACAGCGTCTCCATGTGCACTTCAGGGACACCGACCACATTCTGTGGGTTACGCCATCATTCCCGGGCCCCTTTTCTGAGTTGTTCCTCCCTCACTAACACCAACTCATACCCTCCAAAGGTTCTTTTCTAACTCCTCCAATCGCTGTAGAGAGATCTTAAAAGAGCACAGTGCTCAAGGTAGGCTTTTCTCCTCTCTCTCTAATTAACTCAAAGGCCACATCCCTCTGGTGGTTTGAATCCAGCAGGAACTCTGAAGGAGAAAGATAGGTAATCTCCTCTCCTGGGATTCACAGAGTCTGAAACTGTGCCGTGCTGGAAGCAGCCGTGAGTCAGTCCTGACCCCACAGCACTGGGAGAGTGAGTCGGTGACTGGTTTGGGATGACCTCAGGGAGGATGTGTGGCTTAAGGATTAAAGATGACCCCAGAGCAGTTATTCTGAGGGTTACTGCAGTCTCCCCGGCTCTGCAAAGACCGTGAGAACTTTAAGTTCTTCATTTCCCCCTTGGTGGTCAGGATTCCCTATAGAATTTTTGATCATAATGTTTAGTAACAGCATCTGAGCACCATACAGAGCCTCTGGTGTGATGGCAGAGGACTCATTAAGAATTTTAATCTGCCCAGTGGGGGACCCGGCAGGACAGCAGAGTGGTTAAAGGCATGGCCTTCAGAACCAGAGACGTCATGTTAAACCCTCAGTCTGCCACCTTTGAGCCTGACTTCCCTCCCCTATAAAATGGGACAATAACAGCACCATGTCATCAGGTCACAAGGATTAAATGCACTCTTGTGTTAAGAACTCAACAAACAACAAGCTTTATTAGAAATGCCTTCGTAGGAAGCGCAGCTCATTTGTGTCTGTTTCGCCGCGGGCCCTGGGAACCACCACCAGGTTCTGCTGGCCACAGGGCCCAACCTCTATCTCTCCCACTCGGTCCTGCTCAGAGCCTGTCACAGATGGGCTCGTGGGGGGAGCACCCTCAGACAAGGCCACGATGAAGATCAAAGCCATTCCCAGGAAAGACCAAACAATAGGACTTCAGGACGGGGAGGAACAGATCATTGAGGTCATCCTGCCAATCATACAGAGGGCCCTACATGTTCAGAGTTGACTGGGGCCAAAGAGCATGGTACAACTGCCCCCTCCCCACCCAAGCTGAACCCCACTGAAGAAGCTGCCTTCCAGTCAGGGAGCCCCAGTTCCCTTTGTTCAGGAGCAGCGTGAATGATCGGCTTCGGGGTCCCCTGAGCCCACAGGAGCGCCACAGGCCCTACACGAGCGATGTCAGTGCCCAGGTCTGACCCTCTCCAGTTCCCTCCTGAGGGACAGGTGATGCCCTGCACAGAGCCCTCTCCTGGCACCAGGCCTCACTCTCCAGGTGAACCTGTGCAACAGAGTTCAGGATCCCCGACACTGCACAGTGGTAGGGAAGCAGGGCAGACGGGGAGAAAGCCACCCACAGCCCGCCATCCTGGTCCCAGCGCCTACCTGGCTTCCCACAGAGCACCGGAAGTCTCCAGTCCTCGCGACGGCAGGGGGCTCACGGTCAGGAGTGGGCTGGGACCCCCCAGGCTCAGACTCAGCCCAGCACGTGGGGGCCGGCTGCTCAGCCCCCCACACTGGCGAGGCAGGTCCCCCCTCAGCTTCCAGACGTGGAGGCTGCTCCCCGCTTGCTGGCTCCCCGCAGCTCCATGTCCCGCAGGGCTGGGCCTTTCCATCCATGGAGGCCTCCACCTCTGCCTTTTCCTCCCCCAGGGCCATGGAGCCTCCCCAGGCCAGGGCCAGGGCTTTCAGTGACCTACAAAACCGAGGGGAGGGGACAGGAATACAAACGTTCTGCAGCTGCGTCCAGGAAACGTTATTTTTTTAACAATTAAATAAAATGTTTTCTGTTCAAGGAAGGATGTAAGGAAACAGAAAGCTGCTACTTCTGTTTGCAGGACTAAGTCCAGCTTCTCGGCCCCAGACCCTCCTGTGCTTTTACACCCCAGCACCAGGCACCCCATGGAGCGAATGCAGGTCGTCTCAGGCAAGAGGTGGGTCCTGCCTAAAGGCACCTTTCGCCATCCCCTGAGACCAGCCTCACCGGGTAAAGGCCTGGTCGGTCCTCTGTGCCTTGTGCTGCCACGGCCGTTGTCACAACATCCCCGTTGGCAGGCAGCTGGGGCCTGGTTCTGACTGCTCAGCTCCAGAAACTAGAGATCAGCGAGTCAGGACACGTCCCAGCCTCAGCTGGGATGCACCGGGGATGCCCAGCTGTGCTGGTCAGGGAGGCTCGTCCAGCACAGAACCCCCACAGGTCATCCTTTACCCATGATGGCCAGAGAGCAAAGACGGGCAGCAAGTATTGTCGCCCCACCAGCCTGGGGCCCGCTCACCGGGCAGAGGGCAGAAGGTACTGAGGTGGGCCTCAATTCACAGGCTGTGTGAGGGGAAGCAGGAGCCAGGCAGCCAGCAGGGAGGTCAGGGAGGCAAGGGAGATGAGAACTCACGGGGAGGAATGAAAAAAGACCCCCCAACACACAACTGTGCCACTATGAAGAGCTTCAGAGACCGCAGAGAAGGCCGAGCCCCTGCCGAGTGCCATGGCGAGGGCTGCTGGGGGGAGTGCTGGGAGGTGGGGGTGCTTGGGGGCTGGAGGGCCATTCTGGGACGATGCTGAGGAGGTGGCAGGGGCCTGCGCACAGCTGCTGGTGCTCACTGGCCAGCCTCCAGGTGAAAACCTGGGCAGAAATAGCCTTGTTGCCTCAGAGTTTTAAAGAGGAGGCCATGGGGGGGGCTGTGGGTACAGGCTTTCTCCGTGGTTCACAGGCTGGACCACAGCCTGTCCTCAGGGACTGTCCCAAACTGGTCCACGGAGGGCCTCACCCCACGTGGCCTGACTGAACATACGAAGTTCAGGCAGGTTTACAGGGACCCAAGAGAAGCTACACACTTTACACGGCCTCTCCCTCAATTCTCAGACCACCATTTATCGCAAGAACTAGTATGAGAAGAGGGATCACTGGTGGCTTAGTGGAAAGAAGTTGCGCTGCAATCCCAAAGACACACAGTTTGAATCCACCAGGTGCGCTGCAGGAGAAAGACGGGCAATCTCCTGTCAGCAATGTACTGCCTCTCAAAACCTGCTGGAGGGTCAGCTATGAGGCACTTCCAGTTCAATGGTACATAACAACAAGAGTAGGAGGGTAAAAAAGATTTGAAGAATGGGGTCATGCTTGGAAGGGTGGAGGGACAGTGCAGGAGAGGAAGACCCCGATGAGATGGATTGATACAGTAACTGGGGAAATGGGAGTGGGTGTGTTGGAATTAATGAGACTGGCTCAGGACAGGGCAGGCTTCAGAGCTGCCGTACCCAGGGTCAATATGGGTTGCAGGGGACTTGACGGCACATGACAACAATAACAAAAATACTGTCAATGTGTTCAAATGATGCACACAGACAGAACGCTTCTAATTCATCTCAGCCTCACTCCGTTCCTCCACTAAAATGGGTCAAGGCATGTAAACACTGGTGACAGTGTCCGTTCTGTGTGTGACAGTGTCTGTGTACAGTGTGTGTATCTGACACAATCGTATACCCATGGCCGTAGGTCTGGCAGATGACAAAGCTACATGTATACATGTATGTATTCACTAGTGCTGCAAATACACAGTACAGCCAGCAAGGTGCCAGAGTTCTATACATTCTTAACCACAACCCAGAAGCCCGAGTCAGCGGTCATGGGGGCCTCAGAACCACTGCCTTGGGAGTTATCAGGGGCCAATGGTATATATATAATGAGACAGTCCACAGAGACAACTGGGTGCACATTCTACTGAGGTGAGCTTATTGCCTGGGTCTTTAAAGATTTTGAGTTGCCATCTAAACTGCAACTGCTAGCATCCGGAGCAAAAAGTGAACGAAATCAAAGCTGTATGGAAATAATCCATTCACACACAGTACTAGTGGCCCTGTGGCCCTCAGCTCCCATGACTCTGAGACCAGAAGTACTAGGTGGTGCCCAGCCACTCCTGCTGCCCACTCTCAGAGACCACACTAGAGGCTCCTGGAACAGATGGGGAAGTAAATATAGCAGAAAAGTCAAAACTATAAGGATGCCAGGGGTCCTGATGAGCTCAAGACTAGTGGACCCTCCAGGATGATGGCCATTAGTCATCCCATGGGTTTGGAATTCAAGTCACCCCTGTGGTACAGCCTTTAGTCAAATAATGGGCAGGACTTTACAGTGAACAAGACCAAGGAAGTGCCCAGTCCTTCAAGCAAGATCTTTTGATCTGCCAGGGGATGAAGCTTAGAAGACAGGAAGGGAGAGGACAGGAGGATGAATGGAACAAGACTCATACGGAGAACATGGAGAAAGCACATCACAAGGCAGGGACTGTAATCAAGTGTCATAAAACCAAAGGTGCAAGAATGGCGGAACAGGAAAGGAATCTGCTTGGATGTTTTCACTCAAGTCACAATTAAAAGTTTAAAAAAATCATCCCTACAACTCCATAACTAGCAAAAAATCTCACTAACCTGCACATTTAAAATGAGTATCTCTGTGTTTAAATTCTGTATCCATAAAAAAAAAAAACAAAAACAAAACAAAACAAAAAAAATTCTGTATCCATAAATCTGAAAATGAACATGAAGACGTTTTTAAAAACTCAGCTGTGTATATCAGAATTAAAAGGTCCTCAGAGACATCCAGTGCGGCTCCTTCTGTCAAATGCCAGAGAGAGATTTTATGCAACTTACTGACTGAATTGAATAGGTTCTCTATTTTATACTGAGGAGGAAGAATTAGCGGAGCGTGTTTTGAGTCAATGTTTTACGAGATCTAGAAGGAGCAGATTAGCAAGCAGAGATGGAGGAAGAAGGGTGTCAAACCACATGGAGACCTCCCAGGAACCAGCACAGAAACAGAAGAAACCAGGCCTGCTCCCCAGAGACAACACAAATGGAAGCCCACTCCCCCTCTGGACCTGGTGCCTTGAACTCAAACTTCTAGCCTCCTAAACTCTGAGAAAATAAATCTGTGTCTGTTAGAGCTCGTGGCCTCCCTCATAAAAAAGAGAATCAGTGTAAGAGGCCATCTGACAACACAGGAGGAAAGGAGAAAAAGCAGCTCAATTTGCATATAAATTGAAGTAAAATATTTACTACTACATATTCTCACAAAAACAGAAATCATGTAATTAGCTTTCTGTTTGTCTTCCGGCTCCTGATACACAGGTAAATAAATGCAAGCATTTTCATCCCCCTCCCCCTCTTTTAAGTCAAGGAAACAGCAAAAGGCGTACTTGTTCCCAACCCTGCACTTTTTTCACCTTAACAAAATACCACAAAGACCATTTCTCAGGAACAGGGAGCATCCTCTCTTTATTAGCTGCACTGAGCAGCCGTAGCAGCGTAGGTGGAGGCTCTACCGGCTTAGTGGTAAGATTTCCGCTGCCATCCCACAGGTATGCAGTCTGAATGCACCAGCTGCTCTTCAAGAGAAGAGGGTCCTCCCCCGTGGTTTACTGTCTCCAACAACCCGCTGGAGGGTCGTCTGTGGACTGGGTCTGACTCGATGGTCCGTAACAACAGTGGTGTGGCTGCAGCACGGCCATCCAAAGGACGGGCAGTTAAAGCTACCAGTGGCTGCACGGAGTAAGCCTTGGGAACTGGCTGAGGCTTGCGATGCATCAACGTGAGGACAGCTGTAAGATGCTAACACAGAACAATAGAGGTGGCACTGAATTAAGGTGCTCGGGTGCGGAGTGTGTTAGAAGCTGAGCTGCTCCGGAGGGAAAGATGGGCTGTCTCCTCCCGTGGAGATACACAGCCTCGGAAACCTAACAGAGCATCCCCAGGAGCTGAAATCGACTGGGCAGCAGTCTGGGTTGGGTTTGGGGTACTGCATTCCACTACAAAGTTGCCCTTCAGCTATTTCGCCAGACCCTTAACAAGGGAGTTGGCTAATTCCAGTTTTTCCTTCTATAGACAATGACACAAACACTGTCATAAACACCACGTGCAGGTGTGAGTAGACCTGGAAATGAAGCCTCAGCATCAACACCGTCAAAGTGCTCAGGTGTGTGTCACTGTGACATGTGCTGTTGCCGAGAGAGCCCTTTGTCAGGGGGCATCAGATGAGGCACCCGGGGAGAGGGCTGGATTCCTACGGGAGGCAGCGACTCCTGTCTTCACTTTACAGATGGAGACATCCACCCTCACACACTCAAATTCAGGAGCGTGACTCCAGAAGCTAGGCTTTTTACGAACCAAACTACAGGAGTGGTCAGCACAGGTGGACGAGGCCTGGGCAGCAAGCCCTGGGGAGGTTTTCCTGCAGCCAGTCTCCCCCTTGTGGTCCTGTAGGAAACTGCACAGGAATATGTGAAAAGCAAACTGCAGTCAGCAGGGCCTGAGACAGAGTAATTGACGGTAAAGGATAAACCCGGAGCTACTGGAATACATGGAGCACTGGTGGCCTGTTGTGGTGGTGGCGGCGGTGGCTTGGAGGCAAGGAACCGTGCTGCCAATGCAAAGTTGGGTGATTCGAGTCCATCAGGTGGTTCTTGAAGAAAGATGGACAATCTTTTCCCTGGTGATTTACTGCCTCTGAAAACCTGCTTGAGGTTAGCCCTGGGTCTGTTCTGATTAGACAGTGCACAATGACAATTCTTTGTCCTGTTTCCCAAAGTTCCCAGTGACCAGACCACTGTGATGGGTGGCTAAGTCCCATTTCCTCCCACCGACTACAAATGAAACGGGGTGAAATAAA